GTCACTATGCTTGCTTAGTGTGAGGGATTGCTGCAAATTGACTTAGTGCAAATGGGGGCAGGGGGGCGTTCATTAGATACATAATTATTATCCATTGACGGTGTTTGATCAACTGGCTTTAACTGTAATGTATCCCACTTAACATACATTATATTTAATAGCATACATTAGTGCATGCATGTAACGGTATTAAAACTTGCCTGTATGACTGAAAGAGTTATACAGTATGGATTACAAGTAAATTTAGACTTAATTTTACTGAATTAGCAACGAATGTGAGCCGTCTCATTAAGCATTTTGAGATATTTACTGTAAATTGGCGCTAAATAAATCTACTGGATATAGTTAGTTAAACAGATGCTTCTCAACCATACACTCTAAATTTAGCGTTGCTAATTGACTGGAAGAAAAAAGCAGCTTGTTGTCTGTGTCACTATTTTTTATAATAAAAAAAGGAATCTAGTTTAATACTGCAAGTAATAAGAGCGAAGTCATTCAAAGGAAATGCATCTTTTCAGAAACCCCTTAAACAATGTTTCTATTCTTGCATCTATAAGCGTTTTTTGGTCTTTATTCTGATCAGTTGTGGAGACTGAAACTAATCCACAACTAAAGAAATCAAGCTTAGTTGAAATAAACTTGGCAATTACAATAATTGTCTTGATGCCAAAAACAGCCCAACAGATTTTACTTTCACAAGTGGAGCAGTACGGCTATCGCCATAGTGTTCCGCTTGATATATCCATGTAAATAGCTTTATTATAATTCATGCAGGGAATATTACAGATTTTATGGAAACTCCAATTTTAAAAAGAGGAAAGAAAGAGGAGATAAAAGGGAAACAATGATAAAACATCTTCTGTTGGCTTCATCACCTGCAAAGAGATGTAAAAAGAACAGCACAACCAATGGATATAGTATAAGAGATACAATAAAGTAACACCTTGATACCATCGCTGAATATAACTAGTATTATTTAATCTGACAGGTATACTGTGGTAGCTGAAGATGAGAATATGGGCTTTTTTTAAGTTGAAATAAATTAAATACAGCTCTTCCATCTCCCCTAGAACGTGTACAGTTGCTGGAATGTTAAAATCTGATCCAGTCAACATCTGAGTTATGTTAACTATTGAGTTTAGTTTATGCAACTTCCACATACCTGTACACACGCAAACACACAAAATACAACTGTAGGTGCATTTGTTTGTTTTTTTGATAACTCTGAGGTACAGTTGTACCTGAGATGTGAATAATAATAATAATAATAATAATAATAATAATAATAATTGAACTTTACTGATCTCACATTGGATAAATGTACCTCTGCATTTAACTCTTCCCCTTGGCAAGCAGTGGGCTGCCATCGTAGGGAGCCCGAGGAGCAGTGTGGGCTGCTCAGGGACCCAGAGTGCCAGTCTGTGGGAGTGGGGCTCAAACTCAGAACCTCAGGATTATAAGCTCTATGCCAGGGGTCTTCAACGTTTTCCAGGCCAAGGACCCCCAAACTGATAAAGCGGGAACCCCCTAATATTGTACGAAATTGTGTTATATCAACCTGGTCCTATAGTCACTCTATTACAGATAAAGTAATGTAACAAAAGTAATTTCCTCCTGGGAATATTAAAGTATTTGATTCTTGATTCTCGATTCCTGGTTGATGGGACAGGTGTTGTGAATGAAACGGTGCCCGGCTTGAAAGAGTTTACTACAGTGTGTTGAATTTTTGTTCATGTGTATTTAAAGACATTTCAATTAGTGGAAAAAATGCAGGGGGGATATAAAAAAAAAAAGTCTAATCAACCAAAACTTTCACGACCCCCATGTAGTACCTCCACGGACCCCCTAGGGGTCGCGCACCCCCTGTTGAAGACCTCCGCTCTATGCCCTAACCCCCAATCCGCCACTGCCCCTTAGAATAGACCTGTCACTGCTTGCAGCACTTCATAAAAATAAGTCAAGAGAAAAAAAAAAGGTTATATCTGCACACTGGTTTCCAGGACGCAACTAGAAATACTTTATTAAACAGATTTTATCACCAGTTTGTGTTTTTAAAACCATATGGTCAATAGTTTGAAATATGGACCACATTTCATCAACAATCTCGGATGATTTTGAAGTTTTAAAACTCTAAAGGAGACAATGAAACTGAGTCATAAACTGATTCATGTTACATGGATTGGGATGGTTAAATCAGGCCCGTTATCTTCTCCATAAGCTTCCTCTGGATTATGGATGGTTTTGGGGAAGAGGGCTCTTTGTTCCGTGATTATAGGAAACTGTCCTAATCTGTTTAGCATGCTGCTCCCTTAATTAGACCCCTTAAGATCTTTGAAACTAAAAGGGATAAGTGGCTCTGGTTGAGGATCGGAAATCATAAGTCAGAGAGTGTAAATAAGCACAGGCAGTTATCACCTTTCCACATAAAGGGAATGCACTTCAGCAGAGATTCAAGTTGCAAGTAAAAGCCTTCAGAGATCTACCATCTACCTCCCACTGGGCCACACACTAGGGTGATCAAAATGTCACTTTAACATCTCTTAAGGTCAACTTTCTCAACACTCTGCCTCTACTTGCTCTTACACCAATCCAAAGGAAGAACATCTTTTTCAGCTTGCATTACAGCATATATCCATTCTGATTTATGCTGACATCCTCTTACATTTACATTTATTCATTAGGAAGATGCTCAGCTCCATGTGTAAGCTGTCTTAGCTTAAGCTTACCTGGCATAAAGCTCTGCGACGATAGCAGAGTCTTTTGTCATCACAGAAAGAGGATTGCTGTTGAAGGGGATGTATTAATCATAAAGAGGTGATTTAAAGGAGAAGGACGAGTGGAACTAAATGTCTTTAAAAATAGCCTTAACTGCTTTTTGCATTTTTTAAAGCTACGCCAAAATATGTTTATGTAGTTTTCTGGGGTTTTATGTAATAGAACACAAATTCGCCTATAATTGCGATGTGGGTGAGAAAAGGAGCTAAGTTTTTTTTTTTTTTTTTTTATGACATCATATGTTAAGACCCATTAAGACTCCATTAAGACCCATTGTATCAATACTTTGCAGGGAGTACGTCTTTACCAGTTTGGTCCATCTAGTGTCGCAGATAATTTTTTTTTATTTATTATTATTCTCTATTACTGTCTGTATGTTAACAAAAATAAAATAGTTTAAAGATTATGAATAAATTAGTTCCACATTCTTCTTTGTAAAATATTATAGCTAACATCCAGTCAGACTGGGTGAAAAACATCTTTGAAAGTTAATTGGTAACCTTTGTCCGGTAGAAAGATATTTTTGTTTCAACCATTAAAGAATGCCAAAGAATCCAAAGGTTTTTTTTTTTTTTTAGGTAATAGCCTCAATGAGAAATATACATTTTTCAAGAGTGAACTGGCATACAGGAGTTCTGTAGTTAATATAAAAGCAGGTATACATTAGGGGTGAGTATTGGCGTGTGTGCTGGATATGATGTCACAATACCTGGGTCACAATACGATATATACAGGATATTGTAATATCACTATGTATTGAGATATTTTCCCAAGCTATCAAAATGAAATGTATAGATCAAAAGAAAGTGCTGTATATGTTCACCAGAACATATACAGCAAATTTAAGGCAAATTTACTTGTATAGCACAATTCAGTAGCCTCGTGAGACCATCCTGATCTCGCGAGCTTTCAAGGTTTCACTCGCAGATCAGTCTGGAGACTCTCCGTTAAAGAAAATTTGGAGCCGTTCACCAAACGAACGTCCAATCAGCGTTGGCTTTGAGGCGGGTTGAGGTGTGACGCAACGAGAAGCGCGACAGTTCAGTCTAAAGAACATGGCGGCTTCAGCCGATGAAACTAGCGTTAGCGTGGCTATCGAGCAAGTTTTATCGGAATTACAGAGTATTTCTTCACTGAAAGAAGAGGAAAACACTGCTCTGGAGGCTTTTCTCAGAGGAAAGATGTTTTTGCTCTTCTCCCGACTGGTTTCGGCAAGAGTAGCCTAGCTTGTGGTTGCGTTTTCGTCGTCGGTCTGTTAGTACGTCATATGCTTCGTTGATCTGATTGGTTTATTTGGCCCGTCTATCACCAACATAGGCCAATCAGCTAACCAGTATTTTCGCCCCTTCCCAAAATTACTTCAACGGAAGGTTTCCAGATGGATATGCGGAGCAAATCCATCTGGCAGAGTCAGGTTAACAATTCAGTAAAAAGACAATGCAAAGTGCTTTACATGATTAAAATACAGGAAGATAAAACAGAATCAAAGCAAGTAGGAAAAAAAATGCAGAAACAAAAAAGAATATTAAAAACAGTTGGACTAAAGAAAATATGTTTTAGTTGAACTGTTAAACTAGAACAGTCGAAGGCAATCCTAAAGAAATGTGTTTTTAGTCTTGATTTAAAGGAACTCAGGCTTTCCGCACTTTTACAGTTTTCTGGAAGTTTGTTTCCAGATAAGTGGAGCATAGGAACTAAATGCTGCTTCTCCACGGGCTCAACTACAGTTATGGCGCTGCGTCGCACAGCAAAAGGGCTTGAGAGTTTTATCTGCCAGAGTGGCAGTTCAGATGTAGCCCATTTTCCTTGATTTTTTTTTAGGTAAAGAAGAATTATTTTTTGGTTACTCGATATTAGGAACTGAAAGATCGGTATTATATTGGATAGCCGAAAATCACGATATATCACGAAATATATTCTATTATATTATAATATATACCCTATTATACATTCAATACTACACATACATCAGTGAACCATTTTGTAAACCACCGTAGTCTATTGCACCAGCTCACATTCTTTCCATGTATATCAAATCACCTTACTTTATCACTTTCTTGCTAAATATATTAATGTGTAGGTATTATTGAATTGCGCTGATTAGAAATAATTGTCCACATTCATTTTCTGATAAGATTTCTTTTCTGTTTCTGTTTTCACTGTTAAAAGAGGGACAAGCTGGTTTGTTTCTTTCACCTTACGTGCTTCTTTTTTTGTGTTTCCAGGTGTTATGTTGACGACAAAGTGTCCAAGGTGGCCTGGCTCAATCGATCCAATATAATCTTTGCTGGTGAGGACAAGTGGTCCCTGGACCCCAGGGTAGGCCTGGTGACTAAAGGGCAGCTAGAGTACAGCCTACGCATACAAAAGGTAATGTTCAACACACCTTTTAAACTTTTAAGAAGAAGAAGATTTGTGACAGAAGTTTTAAGACACAATTTATTTAATGCTGAAAAATCTGTTTTAGTTGTTTATTAGTGAGATGCAAGGAATTTAAATGCACGGTGTGTAATCGTTTCTATTTTGAAGAATAGGAAAGAGGAGATATTTTTTATTAATACCCTAGAGAAAATGGAAATCAGGGCTTACAGATTTCATTTTCCTAAACTTTGGTATAAGAAGGCAGATTTTCTAACCTTCAAACCTTTTCCTTTTCTGGCTTGGAAGTCATTAAAAATAAATTCTTTCTAAAAGTAAAGACACTTGTAAAAAAAAAAAAAAAAAAAGGAGAAAGGCAAACTAAAGACACATCTGAAAGCTGACAACTTTAGTAATGATAGACCAAACCCAGGCTTTAGTGCACAACTCAATGGCCACAGAAGACTGAATTAGTTATATATAAAAAAAAGTATTTGTTTATTTTATTTAGATCTTTATTTGTTTAGTAGGAAGAAGGAAATCAGGAAGAAGATTTTTTTTTTTTTTCAGGACAATAGTGTTGAAACCTAGTACATCATGGAGGTAAAAGTAAAGTAATTATATGAAAAAATTTATTAAACACAAATTCTACCAACGTTTCAGTGAGCGTAGTTTCTGCTCCCTTTCCTCCAAGTACAGTGAGCAGGAATGTGTCGTCCAGGGGCAGAATGTGGAGATTAAACTGACATAAAATACAGAAGGAGAACAGGAAAAAAAACACAGACTGTAGACTGCAGTCTGAGCTGAGGGTAGACTTCTCTGGCTGGAGGAAAAATCTGAACAGAATAGTCCAAACAAATCAATACACAGAATTAAGGAGGTTAAATTAAATAGCTGCGGTCAAACAAAGTGCAGGAAATCAGATACTGAGGTTTGTATCCCAAGTCCTATTTGTGGTCATTTTCAGCCACAACAAGGCAATGGAAATGGCAGTAAAGTTAAGTGGGTAGTGTACTTTGAAGACAGCTGAAGTTTTGCTCAATAAAAGTTAAACGTCCAGACAGAGGAAACTCCGATGCTGAAGGTGTTTGTATTTATTTATTTGTTTGTTTGTTCATTTATTTCAACCAGATGTTTTCATGGTGTTATAAAATGAAATGACTTAATCTATAAAAAAAATAAATGAGCATCAAAATCTTAATGCTTAAAAAGAGTCTTTATATCATATGTCTGTACAAATAAAAACTTGCTGAATTGTTTTGTATTCCATGCTCTGTATCTTGTTTAATCTGACCTATGGATGGCCCCAACTGGTTTATTTCCTAAAAATAGCTAATGCCTATAATAAACTATGTATTAACACACAAGATTAGAAGAAATGTATGTTATTTAACCATAAAATGTAATCTATATACAGGTGCTGGTCATAAAATTAGAATATCATGAAAAAGTAGATAGATTTCAGTAATTCCATTTAAAAAGTGAAACTTGTATATTATATTCATACATTACATACAAACTCATATATTTCAGATGTTTATTTTGTTTAATTTTGATGATTACAAATGACAACAAATGAAAATCTCAAATTCATCATATCAGAAAATTAGAATATTAATGAAGACCAATAAAAACAAAGGATTTATAGAAATGTTGGCCAACTGAAAAGTATGAACATGAAAAGTATGAGCATGTACAGCACTCAGTATTTAGTTGGGCCTCCTTTGGCCTGTATTACTGCAGCAATGCGGCGTGGCATGGAGTCGATCAGTCTGTGGCACTGCTCAGGTGTTATGATAGCCCAGGTTGCTCTAATAGTGGCTTTTAGCTCTTCTGACTTGTTGGGTCTGGTGTATTGCATCTTCTTCTTCACAATACCCCATAGATTTTCTATGGGGTTAAGGTCAGGAGAGTTTGCTGGCCAATTAAGAACAGGGATACCATGGTCCTTCAACCAGGTACTGGTAGCTTTGGCACTGTGTGCAGGTGCCAAGTCCTGTTGGAAAATGAAATCTGCATCTCCAAAAAGTTGGTCAGCTGCAGGAAGCATGAAGTGCTCTAAAACTTCCTGGTATGTGGCTGCGTTGACCCTGGACCTCAGAAAACACAATGGACCAACACCAGCAGATGACATGGCACCCCAAACCATCACTGACTGTGGAAACTTTACACTGGACTTCAAGCAACGTGGATGAAGTGCCTCTCTTCTTTTCCTCCAGACTCTGGGACTTTGATTTCCAAAGGAAATGCAAAATTTACTTTCATCAGAGAACATGACTTTGGACCACTCACCAGCAGTCCAGTCCTGTTTCTCTTTAGCCCAGGCAAGACGCTTCTGACGCTGTCTGTGGTTCAAGAGTGGCTTGACACAAGGAATGCGACAGCAGAAACCCATGTCTTTCATACGTCTGTGTGTGGTGGTTCTTGAAGCACTCACTCCAGCTGCAGTCCACTCTTTGTGAATCTCCCCCACATTTTTGAAGGGGTTTTGTTTCACAATCCTCTCCAGGGTGCGGTTATCTCTCTTGCTTGTACACTTTTTTCGACCACATCTTTTCCTTCCCTTCGCCTCTCTATTAATGTGCTTGGACACTGAGCTCTGTGAACAGCCAGCCTCTTTAGCGATGACCTTTTGTGTCTTGCCCTCCTTGTGCAAGGTGTCGATGGTCGTCTTTTGGACAACTGTCAAGTCAGCAGTCTTCCCCATGATTGTGTAGCCTATAGAACTAGACTGAAAGACCATTTAAAGGCTTTTGCAGGTGGTTTGAGTTAATTAGCTGATTAGAGTGTGGCACCAGGGGCCATCAATTTTGAACCTTTTCACAATATTCTAATTTTCTGATATGATGAATTTGAGATTTTCATTTGTTGTCATTTGTAATCATCACAATTAAACAAAATAAACATCTGAAATATATGAGTTTGTATGTAATGTATGAATATAATATACAAGTTTCACTTTTTAAATGGAATTACTGAAATCAATCTACTTTTTCATGATATTCTAATTTTATGACCAGCACCTGTATATAAATTTTTCTTAATTTGTTTTAAATACAGTCCGTGACATGACACAAAATGAATATTATTATTATGCCTGGCAAAAATATTCACTCCCCTTGAACTTTTCCAAATTTTAAACTTTACATGAACAAACATCACTGATTTTTACCAAGGTTGAACGTGTCATGGATAACCTTTTAAAGAAAAAAAGTGTTGCTTGTACTGTGTTTGTTCATAAACCCATCAATACTTCTTGAAACCAGCCTTTTCTGTAGCTGCAGCTGCACATCTTTTTAGGAATGTCTCTCCTAGAATAGAGCAATCAATACCCCATAGATGAAATCAGCCAACTCTAATCTGATAGGCTCTGCAGGTCAAATGAAAAAAGAAGCAACATTCTCTGTCAGTTCTCTGCAACACAGCAGGTCTATGTCGCTAAATGTTTGGGTTTTGGTTTACAGGATATCTTATCTTTTGTATGCGGTGTTTCCTTGATAGCTGAAACTGTATATGAGATTTCCTGTTCTCTTTTAACAGTTTCTGTCTTGTGATACTTTTCCATGATAGTCAAATTTGAGTACATAACTAAATGCGGTCCTGTCTACAGTTTCCCTCACCTGAGCTGCACATTTCTGCAGCTGCTCCATAGATACCACAGTCCGTCTATGCTGTCGTCTGTGAATTAACCTTCTCTAACAAACCTCTGACGCCTTGAGTTTGCAGACCTTCTGTAATTATCCTTGGATTAAAATTCTCTCAAGTGGGCTTCATTCCTTAATTAAAGGATTTCATAAGCTATTTGGTTGCTAAGGAGTTTCTAAGTAATGAGGGCAGAATATGAATGCAGGAAGCAATTTTCTTTTTCTATACTTCATTTTGTTTTCTTTCCATTTCAAAGCTATATACCTCTGTTGGTTGGGCTATGACACAACAAATATATATATTTTTTTGTGACAAGATAAGCCACTAGGTCTCTGTTTCCAAATATACTGTATGTACAGCCCAAATGCATAAAATATGAGTGAGGTGTAAAACATGTTTTTATGAACAATAGGTTACTGTATTATTTATTTTTCATAAAATAAATATGATACATTTTCCAGTTGATAGTTTAAGTACAACTTTAGTGGCTTCATGGTGAGCAGACAGATAGTTTTGTGATGGAGCAGTCAGATTTTTCTCCTTCAGCAGAGACAAAGAAAATGGAGCAGAAGGTTCTGTGAAGGAAGTCAGCATTTCCAGCTCTGAGCCGTAGCAGTTTGAGCTGCTGGTTCAGAGATTCTGACCCAAACACTCATCATATAAAAAATATTTATTTTAATTCTTTGTGACCCATTGATACAACATCAAACTAGAATTATTATTTAAAACAAGAAAGACGAGTAAGATTCATTTTTCGTTCAATTTTCTATTTCTAAATGATTCCTACATTTGAAAATTGTGTAAAATAACAAAACTAGGGTCAAATTATTACACCAGACTGGACAGTTGGTACGCATATTGCTTTTTTTTTTTATCACATTTGTATGCATTTATTTTTATACAGTAAAAAGTGGAAACATGCAAATGGTAACCGATGAATGGGTCGTTTGGTTCCATCGTTAGCCTGTAATTGGAAACCAAGTCCAGTGGATATTTTTTGAATTTTTACGGAATGACTGACCTGGATGACTGAGAACCTTCATCAGCATTTATTTTTATAATGAAGAAAACTATTATTTGTTTTTATTTTTCTTCATACGCAAATACTTTAATAATTTATCAGTCTGTTGAATCACCATGTATCAGCAGACATGCCCAGGGTAGAGCTGCTGACATCAGCGCTCTATTGGTGAGGTCACATCCAAGGTTACGCTAATAGCAAACATCAGATGCAGTTACCCCTTTTACACCTTAAGAGGGCACTAAACAGGTAGTTCAGAGACACAACAGCAGGATTTCAACGAATGTGCAGTAAATTGTCAAAATATTGGTTAGTATGCGCAGACAGAACTACAGTATTAGACATCTATGATTACAGTTAATCAGAAAAATAACAGATTTTTTTATTGGTATGTAGTCATCTGATTTTCCCATAAAGTCATCTTAAAAAAAAAAAAAAAAACTTAAAAAGAAAGCTCTCAGGTTAAAGAAAAATGCAATAAAATAAAGATTGAAATGGTCGGTCGGACTCGATGCATGTCAGTTACAAGCCAGTCAGAATCTTCTGCCATTATATATAAACACTCCAGGCGGAAACATATCACATTGATGCAACATGCACATTTAAACTCAGGTCAGCTTTGATCAGTCAGACTAACTTTATACCGACAAGCGTTTACCCGAATGCCAATCAGATTTTCCATCAGCGTAACCCACCTCTCTCAGTTGGATTACAAGCTTATTCCAATCTGACAAAAATATTCCGACTCACAAGTTATGACGCATTTTGAATCCGATTGTCCATTTATTCCAATAACTTATATCCATGCAAATGTTAGAATATTCTTTATTTTTTCTTAAGGTGGATGTATATGATGAAGGCTCATATACCTGCTCTATACAGACCAAGCAGCAGCCCAAGACCTCACAGGTTTACCTCATCGTACAAGGTAAGCTGCAAACACCTTTACCCAGGATTCACATTGTATGGTTTCCATACCAGTCAGCTGGATATACTTAGAAATTCAACTATTTCAGAAGGGTGGACAGATTACTTTCATCTCGGTTTAAAATAGTTTTAAGAATTTGACCTTGCTTTGTAATACCTGTATTAACCTAGCTGCTTTTTACCGCTTGTCCAAAAAAATAAATAAATAAAAAGTAAAAGAAAGAAAGAAGGTTTGCAGTTGCAGCAGATTCAGTGTCATGTCTGCTAGGAAGTTTGTTGGTCGTGGGTGTGAACGCTAAGGGTGTGCAAAATAATCGTCATGACGATGCATCGCGATTTTAATTTTTGTGATGTAGTGCATCGATTCTTCAAGGCAAGAATCGATTATAAAAAAAAAAAAAAGAACAAATAAAATACATTAATGGTTGGCGCACATCAGCCAAATCAAGTGGAATACAACTTCCAGTCCAGCAGATGTCGCTGCGGATGTGTTGACGCCCGCTGCTTTGTGTCACAAGCATGTCCGGCCATAAGATACTGCGACGAGTCATATGAAATAAAACATGGAGATGAAAATTCGCCCCGTGTTTCCATCACATTTCAAGTCAGATGCTTGGATGCATTTTGGCTTTAAAAACAAAGAAGGTAAAAATGAAATTAATATCAACGCACGTCATTTGCAAAAGGAAATGACGTGCGTTGATATGCATTGGAGATAAGTTCTTGATAAGTTACGCATAAGTTATGCACAGGTTACTCAGGTTTTTTGGATAAGCTAGACGCCACGACTTATGAGTAACTTACATTCAAAGTATATCAAGGATCAATTTATTTACCTGTAACTTATGGCCCATGTATGAGCATACGCTAGCATACGTCGGGAAATTTTAGCATGCTCATCATTTATACAAAACCTACCCATAACTTATCCAATGTATGCCGGCGTTTTTGCCAGATTTTTCGTATGTCAGGCATACGCTGTCTAAATCATCAAGATGTGACAGGGGCTTTAATTCTTTGTCTTTAGATCACGTTGTAGGATAAATGAATCTAATATATCCAGCTACTTGTGACTGAGGCAAAAAAGCACTTTTCCAAAGTATTTACCTCTTTTTTTCCTCTCTGTGTCTAAATTGCATCTAAATTGAAAACAACCTCTTGGAATCAAAAACGCATGAAACAATGATGATCATCAAGGCCAAATGAGAAAGTATTGCTATTTTTAAACAGTTTTCTGCAGTTTTGTTTTGCAAAGTAGCAGGTTGTGAAAATTGCTGCTGAGCTGTCTAAAACAGTCTGTTTATAGCTTTGAGATGTCAAATCTGGGTCATATAGAGTGTGCATGTCAATTCGGAGGTGGAGTATGTGGGGTTGTATTTTTTTACATTTAAATTAAAGGTCTTCAATTGTTTTTGGTGAAAAACATGTAACAAACCAAGCATTATAATTAGTGAGTTTTTTTTTTCTTCAGTTTGTGTGTGTTGTGTATGTATGAGCCAACTTTTCTGAATCTCAGTCCTGTTTTAATATAGTATGTAGAGGGTGGAGGGAACGTGCCGGTCCATAATGTCACCACAGAGACAAGCCCTCCTTTCGTTATGAGCTTAACATTTCATCCATTAATGAAATATCCAAAGGTCAGTTGGTGAATTGACGCCTCTCCTCTGGGGTGTATGGCTGCAAAATTGTCTGTTGCTCCCAGGATCCACTGCATCTGATTAGTGAGTGCTTGATCATCTGAATGTTCCGTGGTGACTTTCAAAGTTTTTAAAGATGGGATTGTTTATCATAGCTAATGTAGCAGTTAAAGCCAAAATATAGTTTTCCTTTTTTTCATTCCTGTCCTTTCAATATGCCTCACATTAACAAAAAAAGATTAATTTTGCCACCATTGATGCTCAGCTGTTGCATTTCCTTTCTAATGTGGTGAACTGTTCATATTTAGCTTATATTAGGAAGCTTTTACTCATTAAGGATATTTCAGCTCAGAAATTACACAGAGATATAGACAAACAGCTGTCTCTGAGGTAAAGATGGAGGACTCAATCATTTGTATAATTCATGCTCTAACCAGTCTATTGCATTTATAAATCCAGCTTCATTTGAGCCTTTGTTTTGTCCATTTTTTCACTCACTCTAGTTGAAATCTTAATTGAGAGAGATTAGAATGCCCTTTTGTATTTCCCAACACTTGCACTCTTGCATGCAATATCCTGAACCAACCCCCACAAAAAAACCCAATCAACTCTGTTGAATAATAATTCATCCTGCCTTCATCTTTTAATGGCTATGAAAGGCCTAGGCATCAAACACTGCCCCTGGTTACAGACTCCCAGATCTGGTTCACATAACCAAAGCTGACAAATTTCTGCTCTCAGGGACAGGGAAGTAATTGGAAAACAAATGGTCAGACAAAGTAAATGTGTGGCGGCTGAAAAAGTGGCAGACTTGCTGGGCTTATATAAGTAGAACCAAGCGGCTGAGTGACCGTACAACAAATCCTAATGTAAAGTCAGCCTCCCTACCTTATTCTGCTTAGATTTGTTGGTAAAAAAAAAAATGTTGTTTCTGCGGTTTTGTTTATGGGTGCAGAACAGATGTGTTCAGTGTTTTACGGTCCAAAACCCCATATTGATTAAGAGATGGAGCAAAGGCCCCCTTTCTATGTCCACCCCAGGGGTGGGGGGTCTACTGTTGAAGAATTTGCCACCCAGTTGAGGGGTGCTGACAGAAGTACATCAGACTGGGGGTTGAGGTAGTGAAAACAAAGACCCCCAGTTGGTGCCACTGCCACCAACTGCTATGGTAGCTTACTCTCAGTATGTAGTTGGTGTGTGAAAAGCTTACTGGACAAGTAAAGAACATTACTAAAACAACCAGACATGGCAAAAGTACTCACTTTCCGTACTTGAGTAAAAGTACAGATACTTGTGTTAAAAAATACTCTGGTAAAAGTGGAAGTACTGATTAAACTTCTTTACTCAAGTAAAAGTAACAAAGTACAGGCTTGTAAATTTACTGAAAGTATAAAAGTAAAAGTAGAAACCACTTTTTTCATGCCGTTGCCTACATTTTAAATGGATATCTGCCAATAGGACTAGATCTCTGTTGTGTTCATTTTCAATCATCTCGTCGTCCATGCTACACTGTACTATGCTAACGCCACTGCCACCAAGCTGCAATGATTTGCCGCGAAGGAATACCGCCGAATCTGTCGATTCATCTTGTAGTGGTGCGTCAAATGCAACGTAGATTCCCATCCAATTAGATTGAATTTGGTATTGATGACGTGAAAAATAATAACGGTAACTCCATTGAAATGATTCAAAACTAAAGTAACGAGCCAATTTTTTAAAATTTAAGGAGTAGAAAGTACAGATATTTGTGTAAAAATGTAAGGAGTCGAAGTAAAAAGTCGCCATAAAAATAAGTAGTAAAGTAAAGTAAAAAAATCAGAAAAATCTACTTGAGTACAGTAACGAAGTATTTGTACTTCGTTACTTCCCATCTCTGAAAACAACACACCAAATATTAAAGTCATGCAGACTGATTCTTCACAAACCACATTAGTAAGACTCTGGTGAATAAGAGAGCGTTTTTAGAAAATGTCAAATCTGAAATTCATGAAGGATCATTTTGAAAGACACAAGTGATGTTTGCATTCAGCCATGAGCCAGGAAAGTCAAATAACAAACATGCAAATTCAAAAATATTTGAACCCTCACAGGGGTATTTCCAAGAAGTTGTTGTATAGCTGTAGGTTTGAAGGATCTTCTCTAGTGGTCTTGCAGTGGAGCTAGAGAACCCTTTGAACTAAAGACTAACAGTCTTTTGAAGAAATTGCATATGTGTTTTATGAAGAACTTTTCTTTGTGAAACAATTCCAGATGTTCCGGAGGAGTTTCTTATCAGCTTGTTGAACTTCCTAAAGTCATTTTCCTGCAACAGAAGATATTAACATGTTGCTGCAAACACTGAGGGAGCTAAGTGTCCATAAGAAGCACTGTCAGCTCTTTCCCTCCTTGTAGAAAACTTCACAGTTGCATCACAGTTTGTTGAACAACCAGTATTTATACTCGCCGACCACCCCCACTTCTTCTTCCATGGTGAAGTGGACGTGAACGGCTTAAATGAGACTAAAACTAAGATAATCTACATGCAAAACACTAGAATCTGTCACCGGAGGAAAACCTCAGAATCTTTTTTTTTCTATGGTTAAAACTTTACATGCACAAGTTCACCCTCACAAACAACTACAGGTGCTAGGCTTCAGGTACTTAGAGATTCACTTCCAAACAGAAACCCCACATTCATATCTTCAGGTAACACAGAGTACATGTCAGACTTAATAATATTACTTGAGCGATAGTTTCAAGGTGTTGCTTTATTGCATATCTCGTACCATGTCTTTTGGTTGTGCTGTTCTTTTTTCATCTCGTTACAGGTGATGAAGCAGACTGAAAATGTTTTGTCATTGTCTCCTTTCTCTCTCCTCTTTCTTTCATCTTTTGTCCTTTTTTTCTTTGTCTTTTTTCCTTTTTCTTCTGTTTTTGTGCTCTACTTACATTGCAGTGTCGATATAAACTGTAAAACTCGCTGCATAATTATAATAAAGCAATTTATATGCATGAAACAAGTGGAACAGTATGGCAATTGCCATACTGCTACACTTGTGAAAGTAAAATCTGTTGGGCTCCTTTTGGCATCAAGACAATTATTCTTATTGCCACATTGCCAGACAGGACACTGTGAAAAAAAAATAAATAAATCATTTTGAAGGTGACATGAAATGGTGGCCGTATCGGGTTGTGTGGCTGTTTTACTTTACTATGGACAAGAACGATGGTCAGAGGACAGGACAACGGAGACAATGAGTCTAAGCTATTGGCATAGCTAGTAGATATAAACCCCACAAAACGTCCTATGTCCTAAGGTATGAAAACAAATACACTGTATTCTGTTCTGAGAAAAATGTAAAGCTGTATACATTTTTCCAGTTTT